GTTAAATTAGGGACGACTAGCGCAGATAGCCCTCGTGTAACTTTGCGCGAAATTCAAAAACAAGCAAACAAACTTGTAATGATAATACGTGCATTATTCAATATAGTTTCCATTGATGTATTAAACATCTACATGTGTAACTTGTATAATGAGACAGGTTCTATGGACACCTTGAACGATTTATCAGAACATCAAACAATTTTATCAGACAGCTATAGAAAGATGTTTAATTCAGCATTTCACCTCTCACAACAAAACCTTACTAAACCATATATAATGATCAAATATAACATCAAATTATTATAAATAGCGACTTTAGCCTTATATCAGTTCATATTAAACATTCAGTACTTGGTTGGTTCTCCTTGTACTCTAAGAATCTCTGCAAGGCGACGAAGAATGTTGTCGATGAGGTTATTGATGTAATCCATTATGATTTCATCCCAACTTGTCACTAGAAGGCACTTAAACTCAGATACTGTAGTTGCCTTAGGGTTGTGGTTAGAAAATTTTCTGGCTCAGTTTTGCCCAACAGTTCTTAATGGGATTACAATTTGGAGACTTTGCTGGCCATGGCGATCTTGTAACGTCCTCCTGGTTGAGTTAATCATGTACAATACGCGCACTGTTGGCAGTGGCATTGTCATCCTGGAACATAAAGTTATTGCCATACCTTGCCCTAGCAATTCAGTCCTGTAGGAGGCGCCATAGACGTTTCCCTGGACGATATGAAGAGCAGATTGTCCACCATGTACATGTACTTATTACCTCCTGTGTGCTCTCTATGGGAAAAACAGTATTCTCTCATCTTTTCTACAAACGACGAACACGAATACTACCATTAGCTTTAACAAGCTGGAAACAGGACTCACCTCAAAAGATGACATGTCGCCAGTGTCTTAATTATAAGCTAGCATGCTATCTTACCGAAGTAACACAATGACGACGGTGAATTCTGGTTAATGTCGGTTTACAGATAACCCCTCTTTGAAAATAACCTTGTTTTGTCAGTCCCCTATCTACTGTTCTTCTGGATACTCTGGAATGAATGAATGCGTTCGTGCCATTCCTGTCGTAAGGTGTTTTTTCGACCTTGACATGTTAACCTGATCAAATCACGGTCATCTCGGGCAGTAGTTTTTCGGTGTCTAACAACGTTTCCTGTAGTCCGGTGACGTTTCAGGATTCTGGATACAGTGCACTGGGTGTACCCAACGGTTCTGGCAATGTTAGTTTGCTTCATAGCATTTCTGGGCATTCGAACAAGTTGACCCCGTGTAACTTCTGGCACGTAACTAGGCAAAACTCCAGGTCAAGTACAGATAAATTGTGTGAACAAAGAGTTGATCTGTTTAGAAAAAGTTTATATCAAAATCACACCCTTTTATACAAAACAGCTTTGTATTTGTGTGTTTTGACGAAACAAATGCGTAAAACAACTTATACAGACCAGGATAACAACTCATATAAGTTTGTCCAGTCATATGCTACCTTCTCTGTTACTACTCGAGATTTACTTAATAATTACTCCATACGTGTAGAAATAACATCAATATAGAATAATGTGCAAACATTTTATACAATGTGGAAAGTGGAAGATGGGGGAATTAGTTTCACAGACAAAACAATCAAATATCACCTTGTTAAATATGCAGCTTTTTGGAGACAATTGTATCAAAATTATTTCCTAGGCATCAAAAGTTTACAGTGTCAAATCTACTCGTTGACCATTTGATGTCGCTTTGAGCTAGATGTGCACTGTAGATGGCGGCTTTAGAGTGCTTAAACAAATTGGCGAGCAAATTAGTTCACTGTAAGTTGGTTCTCTAACTAGAATTATGTCTCTTAGATTGCACCAAGTTTCATTGTAATATTTGAAAGATGAAAGAGCCTCGCCTAAAAATAAGATGAGTATTAAAGACACTGACTGACTTAATATTCTTTGATGTTTTCCAGATTAGACAATCAACAAATTAAATGTGAATGTGGGAACCCTATTTTTAAATCCGAAGATATCTAACTTTGCTCCCTTAGACTTCTTCTGGTGTAGTTTTATTAAATGCAGTTTCTGCATGTGTCAGAATATATATATATATATAATACTTTCTTTTTCGCCAATTGTCAGAATAAAAAGGCTTTTACTTATACTTCTTAATAGTATATATATGTACTATGTTGTTGTTGGGCTTAGGATTCTTCTACAATAGGTGTTTGTGACTTATTGACGATAAATTCAACGATAAATAAACAGCACGCACTTCACTTGTTTTCAAAATAATATATATATATATTCGGAACAAGTTAACGTATGTAAAATAAGTTCTTCAACACCATAGATATTATGGAGATATTATAAACCCTATTTATATATAGTTCTCTTCTTCTTGTCAATAGTCCACTTAGGCCTATTCAATTACTTTAGAATTTCAGTTGACAAGCCGAACTATATTCTCTATTACTATCGCACTAGTATTATGTGTATGATTCACTTACAATTGTGGCGCGGGTTACCGTAATCTTCTGAAGATCCTATGTTCCTTTTGTCAAAATGCACTCAGGCTGATTCAATTATCTTAGAATTTCGCTTTGACGGAATAAAATAATTTTCTTATCTCTGTTTCTTCTGTTAGACTTACTCTAACATACGTATTAAACGTTAGGCCTATGTCAATTGTTAGGCCTATCACTTCTACGGTAGTTAACGTCTCCTTTTCTAACTTTACTTTCTTCTGCTATTATTTGTCTACTGCTTCCCGCCCGTCTCACGCTATTTATATCTTTATCACCTAATCGTCTGTCCCCTTCTATATTTTCGGCGTCAATGTATTGCACGTGACGTTCAATAGTCTCAACATCAATTAATTATTAACAAAACCTCCTATAATCATCTGCTTTTAACTCATGTTATAACAAAACTAAACGATAATAAAATATTTACTCACAAAAGCAAACCAGTTAATAACATTTAAACTAAACAGTCTTTTGTATCATGACAATGTATAAGTTTCACTTTTTTTCCCATGTTTGCTCTAAGTTGTTGTTTTGTCAGTAGTGTTTGTTTGTTTTGAATTTGAATTTCGCACATAGCTACACGAGGGCATCTGCGCTAGCCGTCCCTAATTTAGCAGTGTAAAACAAGAGGGAAGGCAGCTAGCCCTCACCACCCACCGCCAACTCTTGGGCTATTATTTTACCAATAAATAGTGGGGTTGACCGTCACATTATAACGCCCCAACGGCTGAAAGGGCGAGCATGTTTGGTGGGACGAGGATTCGAACCCACGACCCTCAGATTGCGAGTCGA